GGAAGCGTGCATGTACCAGGAGGCTTCAGAAAGCTTGCGGAGCGTAGTTGAAAGTAAAGCGCCTGTTTAACTGCACCCCTAAATATTTGTAGCTTTTGTAGTGGGTTAATATTTGACGACGCAAGATAACTCCCGGACATATATCTCAGAAGCTTAGTAGATAAATTTATTTCTTAATTGCGTCGTGTCGTCTGCAAACGTGGCGTGGATCCATGATAAAGAGGGTGTAGAGCGTGGACCCCAACATACTGCCTTGATTTACGTTTGTTGATTTCATTTGCTATTCTCTTTAATAAATAATTTTATAAAATATAGAAAAGGAAAATGAATATTAAAATAACAGAGAAAGAATATAGAAAAAAGATAATTTTAGATCATTTTATTGCGAACCATGTGGGTAGGATGCCTGCACGGACTGCGAAGGCTAAAACCGTTGCTGCTGCTATAGTCAAAAGATTCAGGTACATAGTTTATACAGAGGGCATTATGTTTAAGTAAACGGATTGCTTCATTCTTGACTTATTTATAAAATACACATTCTGATCGGAACTTTGTTGTTTAGCTTGAAGTCTTAAATAGGGCCTTAAACATATTTCAAGACTCGCCGTGGCTAAACATCAATGTAAAACCCTATATGTGATTCAAAATCATTGTTACAAACTTTTAATATATTCTTCAAACGTGGGTGCTAGCATTTTTTAGCTCTCCATAGCTATTGTTATTAGATAATAATTTTGTGCCTTTTGTTGTTAGGTTTCAATGGATATTTAAACAAATGCTTCTAGCATATACAAACTTCTAAGCACAATGGCCATAACTGTAGAAAGTAGTCAAAAACTAAAAAACAAAAAACAAAAGAAAAACAAATTTTAAAAACTAAGTAAACATGCGGTTGTTGTGAATGTTCAAGCTGTTGTGAATGTTCTTCTTTGACTTTCAACTGTTAAAAAAAAAAACATTAAGTGTGTAGATTTTTCAATCGAATATTAATTTCGATTGCATTTAAATAATAATAACAATGATAAATAATAATATAATATATTGAACGCCTGCTGTCCTTTTACCAAATTATATGAAACGCATTCAAGTCAATGAAGAAAACACCGCGCTTTTCTTATGATTCATTACACTGTTCGTTACATAAAGATCCTGGTTCAAGATTTAGCCTGAGCATGGAATTGGACTTTATTTAATTGTTAGTTGTTTCCTTACTCTGCAAATTGTCCTATCTAGACGTAGCATACGCAATCGCAGCATACAAGCATTCGTCTTGGACTTTCACCTGGTTTTTGGTGGAACTCCTTACATGACACTGATGTGAATGGGCTTCGTTTCCCTTTGTAGCAATTGCCCTGATATTATTTTATTTAATTTATTTTGCTATTTATTTACTTTTCTTCATTTGCTAAGAAACACAGCTGCGGCAATCCACGCTTAATAAACAACGCGTGCCAAATGTAATTTGATGTTTGCTTTTCACGAAAATGTATACCAAATTTTATATTTAACCAACTGGTCGTTAGTGCTAAAGGCATTAAAGTAAGTTTGGCGTTCCAGATCTTAAGTAAGGCAAATTCCTTGCCACTTGCATTTTCCGGCCTTATACATTTCAAGTTTTTGCCTGAGATTTTACGTAGAAAATTTAAATTTATTCCATGAAAGTAGGAATCAATTTTTTCCGACCGTTCGTTAAACCCTTAAATCGCACTTTTCATCCAAGGGGAAGATCGAACGAAACTTTAATTTTGCACTTACAAGCTTTGTCTACCATTTGCCGCTGGGAATGGGTGGAGTTTCCGATTTTCCGATTTAGGCAGCGTATGATAAGCACACTTATTTCGGCTGGAGTAGCTGGTGCGTACGTTCGACTGCTTGGATCTGATATGATATGGTCTGGTCGAACTTGGCTTTTGCCGGGATATGCACACACTCACGCACACAACAATAGAGTACTTCAGCTATAACACACGCACACACAGCCAAACACTTACCTTGCACTTGCAAAATCAAGCTAAATGCGAGCGACACTCAAGGACTCAGAGGATGTGTGTGCGTGCACTTGTCTGTGTGTGTGTGTGTGTGTGTGTGCGTGTGTGTGCGTGTGAACAACTCTTCTGGCACATGAAAAAAGAAAAAACGGCCAACGTCTGGCTTAACTGGCAAGTGTTTTACGGCCAACAACACGAGCTATGAGGCGGGTTCGAAAGATGCAACATTTTTTAAATTATTGCCAACTTAAGCGAGTGGCTTGCTGCCACACACAATTGCAACAGTTGCAGCTTAAAAATCTGGTGCCCCCACCTGGTTGGTTGCAGGTGTTGCGTCGCATTGTCAATTTGTTTAAGTGCATGTTACATAATGCAAGCGACGGTTGACAGTCGACAGCTGTTTTATTGTTGCCTTATTGACTGACTTAACGAGGACTCTGGCCGCCAATTTCATCAGCTGCCGTTCTGCAGGGGGCATCAAACCGGGGATCTCGTTTAATTTGCAGTCGTGCCAAAGTAAAATCCCATTAAAAGTCGTTTGGCTTTATGTTTGCTTCCTTTTTTTTTTTTTTAATTTTGTTTGTTTGTTTTTGTTTCTGTTTTCATTTGTATTTATCTCCGGCAAGGTTTTAAAAAGTTTGTCGGCTGTGCATGTAGTTTTTATTGTTGTGCCAAAGCACTGAACATTGTTTTTGTTATTTTTTTTACTGCTGGCAAAAGTTCAGAGCACTCGTTTCGGTTTGATTATTTAAAAGGGTCCTTGAAGCAGAAAAGGTAGGGAGACAATAGCAAACGTAGTTTGTCCCCACTTCTCTCCTCCCTCTAGTCTCTGTTGTAGGTAATAAAACTAGTTAGAAGTTTGGTTACCTTGGGTGCTGTATTTTCCTACTCTTGTCAAGAGTATTCGCATTATGTCACCAATTGTGTAGCGCATAGTGAGGGACGTTTCCGACAGACTCGATAAAGACAGAACTTGGCATTCGTCTTCATGCAGCCAAGCCTTATCAACGTCTTACTACCATATCGAAAAGCTCTATGCGTAGAATCGATCGAAAAACTTCCCCTTCTCCCATTATAACCGTACCAAATCGGAGTGCTACAAGATGCCCAACATGCCCACAAGAGTATTTGGTCTTCGGCGAATAGAAAAAGCCATGTCTTTCTTTAAGATTCCAAAGAGGAACTTTGCAGTTAAATATTTGAATTACTTTTATTAAAAAATATATATCTAAAATGCTTGTAAGAGAAATCTGTTTTAGTAAAGAAGCCTTCAAATTTGCATTTATTATATTCAAATAACAATTGTTTACTTCTCTGTTTATTTAATTATTTATTTATGAGACTCTTAATAGGTTTGCCCGTTTAGCCTGCAGTTTATGGGCCACTTAAAAAAATTGTAATTAATTTTAATTGATTTTCAACGATTGAATATTTCATTGTGTTTAAAGCAAAAGCATGAACTAAAATAATATTATTTCCACAAATGCTATTGTTGGAAATTCAATTAAGCCAAGAAATTATATTGGCTAAAGCCACATAACACAGCGCGAGGCAAGACTGAGGACAGACTTTGGATGTAAACAATTTAATTGGCTGCCATATTTATAATATCCATTAAGCCACAAGACTATTTTCATGACATTTAAAATATGTTTCTGTATTTGACGGTCAAAATAGAATCAAAACATGGCAAGCACACGCAGAAGTTGTTTAGGTTGTGCTATCCCAATTGGTCAAAAAAACTAGTGGGCGGGTTTGGCCCAAGAATCAAACGTGCATAAGAAACATTTATTATGTACAAACAAAAGTGACCAGTTTCTGATTTGAATTAAATCAATATAATCTAACCAAATTTGAAGCAATTCCGTCCATTGCTATATAATTATACGCTCGAACTCGACCCCTTTGTATAAGAAATATGGGAAAATAGGTTTTCTAAAATTTTAGTTTTCCCATTTTTTATATTAACAAATTAAAGAATTATTCAATTAATTAAATTTCTGAGATTTAGGAGAGGACAACAGCTTTGGACATAAAAGAAATGTCCTAAGAAATGTTTATTAATAATTAATTTTGTATTATAATATATTTAGGAACCGGGCTCATCAAACGCGTTGAAAAACATTGAGCTCTGTGTTATTATTATGATATAATGATTATAATCAGAAAAATGTGGATACATTTCTTGAGCTGTTGCCGTCCTTTCAATAGAATAACTTCTGTGTCATTAGACATTTATTTTTAAGCATATAATTATCGATATTTTTGTGCGCGACACGAAGCCTGCTTCTGTACGACTGAAAATAAAACAGCAGCAACAACAACAATAGCGAAATGAATAATAAAAATACAATAACAAATTGCCTTAATTTGGCAAAATTGTCCCACAACAGGAGGGAAGGGGAGTTGTTGGCTGTCCAAAAAGCGGAAGGCAGAGACAAAGGCTAAATTGCAGGCAAGGTCCCGGTCGTCGTGGATAGTAGGCGCACAGCACGCAAAGTTCCCAGCCCAGAGGTGCCCTCGTAATTGGCCCCTCGCACGCAGCCGAAAGGGCATTTTATATTCAATTACCAGCTTGGAGGAGTCGGCCCCTTAAAGCAAACTGCTAATGGTCACCTTTGACCGGGGCGGGCTCAGTTTCATTTCGAATCGAACGCGGACCAGATGACAAGTCGCATGGTTTAAGTGTTCTGGAATTTAGGAATTCAATTTGGCTGGAAGTACACGTGTGCCGCAATATTGAAAATAATGTATGTACATTTGCATAATACATACTGTAGTTGAAGACGCCTTCAATAATGCCAGCTTATCGTTCTATTAATATCAATGCAGAGTGGCAGAGCAATTACAGCAGCTAATTAAATGCCGCCCACGGCCACAGAATTCAATTATTTCAGGGGCAGGACGAATGGGAGCTCAAGTGTGCTTCGTCCTGTATATGATTGTTGTACACAATTTAAGCCATTCATTAACATTTATTATCCATGTGCTTGGTCTTCCCTTTCCATGCAGAAGTCACCGCGCAAGCTTTCCAATTCATCGGTGCATGCGCTGCCCGAAAGTCGACGCCATTTGATGGAACTGGACGAGGGTGAGCTCTTCATGGAGCTGATACGCGACGTGGCCAATGAGCTGGACATTGATGTGCTCTGCCACAAGATATTGGTCAACGTCGGCCTGCTGACCCATGCGGATCGGGGATCCCTTTTTCTGGCCAAGGGCACCCCCAACAACAAGTATCTGGTGGCCAAACTGTTTGACGTCACACAAAAGACAGGTGAGCACCAAATGCCAATACGAATTTTCGATTTCCAGCCATTGTCCATTGTCCAAATGTTGCTAGGCAACGGGCGAAAGGCAAAACTGAATGCACTGCAAATGGAGAAAGGGCAAAATGGTAGTCCGGTTTAATTAAGTGCGCCCTGCACAAAAAAGATTCCAACTAACAATCGAATGCTGAATTCAATGCAGCTGTGTTCAGAGCTAAGGATATGCTGCTGGATGCAAAGTGATTCCGGCTTGAGGAGCATAATGCCTGAGCATATTAAGACCTGTTATTTAACAAAGAGCTCAAAATGACGAACATTTTTTAGAAATAAATTGAAATTGTTGTTCAACTGAATAACTTGACTGACGTAGCTCACAGAAGCCAGTGCTGGGTTTTAATGAAAATATAAGCTCAAATCGTAATTGCGAGGGTTGCGCTCTGTATTCTAACTATGCCAAAGCTTTGCATTTTTGTTTAATTTTTAGAGTGTTAATCGTAACATCAAAACATTATTCGCGTCAAAAAATTTATCTACCTCGCATAAGTCAACATTTTTATAAAATATAATTCTACCTTCACTATTTTACGCAAGACAGCCAGATATGAAGGGCAACCCGAAATAACTATTCTTAACTTTAATTCCGAATCTCTCAATGCTGGATCGAAATGGAAAAATCCTTACATTATAAAATAAAACTTTTTGCTAAATTTAAACTTCTCGGACTCATGCGATTAAGCAACTAAGCGGAGATACAAGAAATACTGCATACTTTTTATTTTATTAAAACTTTAATTTCAATTTAATTTAAAAAAAAAAAATGTGTGAAAATTTGCTTTTATTTATTAAAGAGAAATAATTTAAATTATTGTTGCTGAACTCTCAACTGATTGAAAATGTGCATTAGGCAAGTTCCAGTGCAAATTGTCGACTACTTAACCCTCACAAATTGGCGCTCATTAGCGGCTGGGGCAAACACTCGGTTCGGTTGGACGGCGGAGGCGGGAAACGCATTAGCAAATTAAGCCTAAGCGGAAGCGGGCATTAAAAGTTTTTGGCAGGCCAGACCATAAAACTCAAAAGGTTGCTATCAAATGAAAAATAGATGCTGGCTAAAACGTGTTCAGGCGAACAGACTGGCAGTGAGCAAGAGGGGCGAAAGACAGGGGGAGATAGAGGTAGAGGTAAACACACACACACACAAGCACATTTATTTGCAATGAATCTCGGTGTGTGTTTCGTGCGTTAAAGCCGCCTCTTCCGCTACATAATTCAGATGGCAAATGTTTGGGGGCAAGACGAAAAAAAGATTAGAGCTAGAGCATAACCAAGGTTTACTTTTTGACACACACACACACACAAACACCCCGCACACCCACACACAAGTACAGCTACACATGTGAATTGGCCATGTAAATTCAGCTGGGACTCACGAGCTGCGAACTGCGAGCTGCGAGTCCCTGAACCAAAAGCCCGAGCCACATTTGACTTTTAGCGCCTTTGGCCTGGATTCCGGACTGGCATTTGTTGCTTTCAGCCATGGCTGATGTATCTTTCGCGTGGCAGACTGAATATTTTGTCTATAAATTTAATATTTATTTAGCTATGTGTGTGCGTTGGCTTTGCCTTTTAATGATTTATGCGCCCTGCCTCTACCCCTCTCCCATACAGCTCTCAAGGATGCGGTGACGCGGGCGCGAGCCGAAGAAATTATTATACCATTTGGCATTGGCATCGCTGGCATGGTGGCGCAAACAAAGGAGATGATTAACATCAAGGAGGCATACATGGATGCGCGCTTCAATTGCGAAATCGATCTAAAGACCGGCTACAAAACGAACGCCATACTCTGCATGCCCATTTGCAATTACGAGGGCGACATCATAGGCGTGGCACAAATCATCAATAAAACGAATGGTAAATAGAATCCCAATCTCAATCCCAATTCCAATCCTAATCCTAATCGCAATGCCCATAAATTGGCTCACTTGTTACATTCGAGATTTTGACAAATGTTATCCTGCAGGCTGCATGGAATTCGATGAGCACGATGTGGAAATATTTCGCAGATATTTAACATTCTGCGGCATTGGCATACAGAATGCACAGCTTTTCGAAATGTCCGTCCAGGAGTATAGGCGCAATCAAATCCTTTTGAATCTGGCGCGCAGCATCTTCGAGGAGCAGAACAATCTCGAGTGCCTTGTCACCAAAATCATGACCGAGGCCCGTGAGCTGCTCAAATGTGAACGCTGCTCGGTATTTCTGGTGGATCTGGACTGCTGCGAGGAGGTGAGTAAATGCCTAATGATGCCATAATAGCCACAGCTGCTGCCGTCAATTGTTAATGAATTTTTGGCGCCGAATGTTGTTGCTGCTGCCGCCACATTGTTGGCCTGCTTTTCCAAGTACATGGCACATGGCTGTAATGAAATGTTTTTCGCTGTCCGCCCACACATTTGGGGCGTGGCTGGTTGGCACGACTGTGGTCGTGGCTGAGTCGCTGTCAGTTTCATTAAAATTAAAATGGCTTAAACGCCAACGCGTTCATTTTGTCTGTCTGTTTGCCTGCCCGTCCGTTTGTCAAGTTAACTGTGAGCGCACCCCAAGGAAATTAAGATGTCCAATTTATATTACAATATTTCTTTTCTTTTTCTTTCTCTGTGTGTGTGTGCGCGTGTGTGTATGTAATATTTCTTTCATCCGCCATAGCCGCCAAGCCGGAAGCTAACTAACTTCCAAAGGTAAATTAAGCCAAGACCAGGCAATTCCCATTGTGCTACTAAGCAACGAGTCCCATTGCCTTTTCTGCTTCCGCTCATTCTTTTAGGCCCGAACAAGCGCCTAATCTGCAAACATACCTCTTCTGGCCTCTAGCACCGACAGTTTATGTGCTAGTAGTTGTCACCCAAACAAACCACCTGTCCCTTGTTGACTCAACCCACAAGCAGAAACAAAACAATTGTACAAATTAACAGCCAAAATAAATGTTTTGTATGCGCGTCTGTGTAATCAGTTTTGCTTGGCTTTGCTCATTTTATTAAAATATATAGTACTAATTACAATTTTTTTAATAATAAACTGAGAATTCGACAGATGCTACTGTTATTCAATATTACTATCGTACTTGTATTAGCATTGCTGCTGCTAGCATGAGACTAAGCAGATAGTCTCTGCCAAGCATGATCGAAGTGTGTTGTGTAGCGTTCAGTTTAGTATTTAGAGTTGAGTATTTACTAACAATACTACAAGACAGAGAAGAACATTGAATGAGTAGAGCATGAAGACGAGGGAAATATTCCTACTCGAACTGAATGGACATACTCTTAGGAAGGCATTTTTGTGATTGCAACGACACTCGGAACTTGCTGTGCTGCCAATATGCCTATTAATAAGGAAAATATCAAAACAATTAAACATTAAATTAGATTCACAATCTGTGTATAATTGGCTATATTCATTAAATAGCTGGTAAGCTTATTTCTACCTTATGCGGCACATTTTTGCCTCAATTAGAAACTTAATTGTAGAGAAATTAGCAAAGCAGATTTTTTTCTTTACAAATTGAACGGCAAAGACAAATTCTAGAAAATTGTTTATTTTATGTATAAATAATTGAATATATTTTCTAATATGATTTCTTGGTAAGAATAATGTACAAGTTTTGGGAAAGAATGTGAAGATTTTAGGCAAAAATTTCCATCTTTATTGCAATGCGCAAATTAAAAGTATCTAAAAAAAATATACAAAAAGAAAACGTAAATACGTGGAAACATATTTGCGTTGATTTGCGGAAAAGCACGCGAAAATAATTTTCATTTCGTCTAAACAATTTACACGAAATAATACTTAAAGAGACAACTTGAACTTTTTAATAAATTGCGTGATATTTAAAAATATCCCATAAATACTTGGAAAACTTTTCATTTGCACTCAAGATGCATATAAACAAAAATATATATAAATATATTAAACATGCATAACATGTTATGACAATTGTTATTCATAAACTGAATTCGATGGCAACAATGCTAGGGTCCATTCATAGCCTGGACAGAGGGAAAAATGTAATTAATTTGGGTAACTGGGTCAAGCGTATTAATTATGTTAATATTGTTTTTAGATATATTGCAATTTGTATGTTGTTTCATTCGGGGAAAGCAATGTTACTTTTTGTTTTTGTCTATAACTATATTTATGGCACTTTGTGCAGCTAAATTAAATGCTTATTGCTGTTGATTGCTTATTCATTGGGGTCTGCATTCAAATGTGATTACCCCACAAATTGCCAATTAACTCGTGTCCGATAACGTAAATACATTTATATATATATATAAATATATATATATATGTATGCAAATTATGCCTGGCCACTTCAGTAAAGGTAGCTCGGGAAAAACTTGTTAAAAATATGCCAAGTCATGTGCAGCATATCCGTTAAATGATGTGCAACGCGGTGGCAGGCAAAAAACGTTGAGTGCTGCCTCAATGTTGTCCCAGTGTAAGCAAAGGCAATTTATCAGCGGCTGCGCCTGCACGGGGAGCGGCTGTTGCTCCATTAGTGGCAGCCACTTAATGTCCATGTACCTTGCACATGCCCTTTTTTGCAGAGCCATTTGGAGAAGATAATCGAGAAGCCTCATCAACTGGAGCAGCGCGCCACGCGTGCCATTAAAGGCGGCGACAGCTTTGAGGAGAAGGTGAGCATTAAGGTTTTTCGTCCATTCAAATTTCACATATCCCATATCATATTAATTATTGATTTTCCTTATACTTGTCCCTTGCAGCAAAAGATGCGCAATCGTTTCACAGTTCTCTTCGAGCTGGGTGGCGAATCTCAGGCGGCAAACGTATCCAGGCCCTCCATCAATGATCTGAGCCACTCGACACTGGCGCAGATCGCACAATTTGTGGCCACCACCGGACAAACGGTGAACATTTGCGATGTTCACGATTGGGTCAGGGAGCACAATCAAATACGCGCCGAGGGAGAGATCGATAGCACACATGCCATACTCTGTATGCCCATTGTGAATGCACAGAAGACGGTCATAGGCGTGGCACAATTGATAAACAAGGTGTGTAGCTAGACTCTCATGTGTAATCTTCTGCTGATGGGCTGTTCTTTCTGTGCAGGCGAGCGGTTTGCCCTTCACCGAATCGGATGCCTCCATATTTGAGGCGTTCGCCATATTCTGCGGACTTGGCATACACAACACACAGATGTATGAGAACGCCTGCAAGCTGATGGCCAAGCAGAAGGTGGCGCTGGAGTGCCTCAGCTATCATGCCACGGCCGGTCAGGATCAGACGGAGAAGCTCATACAGGATCCCATTGCCGAGGCGGAGACGTACAATTTGTACAGCTTCACCTTCACGGGTAAGTATCCAAAATTTCACCAGATCTTTGCACACGCTCTCTTATCCATCCCATCCAGACTTTGACCTGGTCGATGATGACACTTGTCGTGCAGTACTGCGCATGTTCATGCAATGCAACCTAGTCTCACAGTTCCACATTCCCTACGATGTAAGTGTCATTGCCATCAAGGTGCTGCTTGCAAATTCTGACATCGAATCAACATTGCATTCCCTTCCAGGTGCTCTGTCGCTGGGTGCTGAGCGTACGCAAAAATTATCGTCCCGTCAAGTATCACAACTGGCGGCATGCTCTAAACGTGGCTCAGACAATGTTTGCCATGCTGAAGACGGGCAAAATGGAACGTTTTATGACCGATCTGGAGATACTTGGCCTGCTGGTGGCCTGTTTATGTCACGATCTCGATCATCGCGGCACCAACAATGCATTCCAAACCAAAACCGAATCCCCATTGGCTATACTCTATACCACCAGCACCATGGAGCATCATCATTTCGATCAGTGTGTTATGATACTCAACTCCGAGGGCAACAATATATTCCAGGTAATAATAAAGTTTAATTTTCAAATAGTTAAATCTTCAACTCTAATAGTTTGGTTATAAATTCATCCTTTTTGATAAATTTAATAATCCAGAAATTGATATTAATCAAATTTTATATATTTACTTTCACTTAACCGAGACATTTTTATAAACAAAAAATCTGTTAATTAGGCCAAATCCTTAAAATATGTATAGTTGGTTTCCCAAAATGTGCATTATATGAAAATATGACTTTAGTTACGCAATACATTTTAACCATCAAACTTTCTATTGCGTATTTTAACCGTATCTCGGATAAATGAAGTTTGATCCCTGAGAGATTTGTCCCTCGTAAAATCCTCATTGGAAATTTTATAGAATAGATTGGAATTAAAAATAAGAAAATATGTTCGCAAAATTGTGACGTAAAATATTACAACATTTTTACAATTTCGATAAGCCAATCGCTGCTCCATCTAGGCGCATTTTTATTTATTTTTATTTTATTATTATTTTATTTAATCAAGTTATTCAAGTTGTTAGAAGATCTTACCTTGTTTTCCCCAAAGTAAATTGTCTCTGAAAGTATGCTATATAATTTCTCTATTGTAGAACTTTTGTTGGGGTAATTTTTTGCCACTTCTATTCGACAGATAAAAATCTTGCCCGGCCCAAATTTTCGAACCCGAAAGTATGCAGTCACATTTATCCCTGAAATGTTTTTCCCTTAATGTTTTTGCAAGAAATCATGATTTAATCAGTTAAGACTAATCAAAATATATATAATATACTTTCCTTCAACAGGCGCTGTCGCCCGAAGATTACCGCAGTGTTATGAAGACTGTCGAAAGCGCTATACTTTCCACCGATTTGGCAATGTATTTTAAGAAGCGTAACGCATTTCTCGAATTAGTTGAAAACGGCGAATTTGACTGGCAGGGTGAGGAGAAGAAAGATTGTAAGTACCTGAGGCACATGTCGCGTATACGTAATATTTTCGAAACTGCCTTTAGTACTGTGCGGCATGATGATGACGGCCTGCGATGTAAGTGCCATAGCCAAGCCCTGGGAGGTTCAGCATCGCGTGGCCAAGCTGGTGGCAGATGAGTTCTTCGACCAGGGCGATTTGGAGAAGCTGCAGCTAAACACGCAGCCGGTGGCCATGATGGACAGGTGAACAAATCGATAAATTATAATATTATTGCATACAATAACTGTTAATTTGCAACGATGCGCACAGGGAACGCAAGGATGAGCTGCCCAAAATGCAGGTGGGATTCATTGATGTCATTTGTTTGCCGCTCTATCGCGTATTATGCGACACATTCCCATGGATAACGCCGCTGTACGAGGGCACGCTGGAGAATCGACGCAACTGGCAGGACTTAGCTGAAAAGGTGGAAATGGGCCTCACCTGGATCGATCATGATACGATTGACAAGCCAGTGGAGGAGTTTGCCGGCTGTGCCGATGAGGAAATCAAGGACATTGAGTTCACAGTGACCACGCTCAACTGCAATCAGCAGTCGCAGCATGGCGGCGACGATAGCCACACGCCGGAGCATCAGCGCAGCGGCTCACGGCTAAGCATCAAAAAGACCGGCGCCCTGGGCAAAGTAGTGCGCTCCAAGCTATCAAAGACGCTTTACAACAGCATGGATGGCTCCAAGCCGAAAACATCGCTCAAACTGCTCGAGTCGCATGTCAGCGAGGATATGGATGACAAGAGTCCGACAAGCCCATCTCAGCCGCATTTGGGCAGCGTTGGGCGGATGTCGGCATCATCATCCACATCGTCTGCCGGCACCGTCGACAAGAGCAAGAAACGCTCCAAGCTGTGCGCGTTATTATGACGAAAACCCTCCAATTAGAGTTTGCTGACCCCCTCCAGTGCGGCTGGCAGTGAGACTGACAAAAGCGGAGGGGGGCTGACCGACTTCTAATTGCCTGAACCTGGCTGGACAGTGTGCTAAGCAACAAATGCCAGCCAGAAATCCTTAAATTCAACAACTTAAATGACATTGTCTTAACTAACTACTATAGTATCTAATTTATGTGCAGTTCAAGTTGAATGAATACCTTTTTTGGTTACTCTACGTGTATATGCCTATAAGTAGAGAACAACACACACAAACATACCCAAACAGCAGAGATAATTGCAATATTATACCTAAGTGAATGTCAAATCATGTGATCTATTTAAGGTCCTAAAGGTCAAAGCGCATGCGCGTTATGCCTTTTGGTATACTCTCTCCTTCTCTCTAACTCTCTATTGGAATCTGCGAATTACCTGTAAGCTCTTAGGTGTTTGTACTCCGCTCTCCAGCTAAAACCAAACACTATATCTAAATAGATTATCAATATTAAGTAGTTCTCTTTCGTAATCGAAACCGTGCTAGTCAAGCGTATGAAATACCAACTATATAGCATATACACATACATGCAATCACACGTATGTTTATAGTATGTGTAACCTTGTGTAGGTTTAAGCATGAAATTTAATGAGGCTATCACACATATAACATATATTGGCTATCAAGGTTAATGTACCCAAAAACTATTACAACTAGTCCGCATGTGATATCTACATACACGTGTTGTACTCAACCTATGGTAACTTGTGGTTAAAGCTTTTACTATCTAGATGGCATAACTAATTAAAATACAATCTACACTAAATTAACAATTAACTATAGTAAAGCACAATTTGTGTGTTAAATAGCAACACGCAATTAACCTACTCATATATGTTTAGCCAAACAACCAGAACTTGTGAAGAATATAAACTATAGCAATATTATATGATATTTCTAGACTAGCTAAATTACCTACCTATATATCTATATATAAAAAAAAAATCAAAAGACACTCAAATAAATATGGTATGTACTTTGTCGTTTGTGAGCACAGCACAGGATGGAAATATTGTAAAATTCAAACATACCAACGTTTAAATATTAAAAAAAAAAAAATAATAATAAATATAATAATGAAAAATTTATTGTAGAGACAAAAATAAACACATATAAAATGCGTTGCGTGGCGTCAATTTTGTCAATTTTTGAATTCAACTCAAATCTAAATGGCAGTTTAAGCAAATCGTTAGTATATTCTATTAGCACCTATTCAATTAGTGATTAACTATTTATATTAACTAAAAGATATGCGCACTTTTGTGTATCCCAATCTCTCTATCCGTCAGAGCAAAGTTGCAAAGAATCTTACTTTATGTGTGTATAAAGCGGTCAAGTATATAGCGTATTCTAAAAATATATACTCATAGAAATATATATATAAATATATCTATATGTATGGGACACTTGTAATTGTTAACAACTAATTGCTAATGCTTAAATGTAAATTATAGGCACCTCATTATTTGTGTAACTGCAGCAAAACAGTTGCAACAAAAGCAAAAAGGAAGAGAAAAAAAACGAAATACTATTTTTCTAACTATTCTGTCGCGCCATTTGAGAATCAAAATCCAGACAACTTTATGAACAAACTTTAGAACTTGTTTATGAGTTTTTTTTCAATTGCTTTGCTTGGAAAACCACCTCAATTGGTTTTCAAGGATTATGTAGTTTTATAAATGCCAACCATATGGTTATAAGTATGAACACAAACACAATCAGAAATTAGAGTACGCTTCAAATGTCCTTTGTCTTTTGTCCTTTGGCACTCACCCAAACTCTTCTTGGAAAGTAACCCATTTTGTGTATATAAACAAATTTTGAGTTGATTTCGAAACAATGAAAAAATTAGTAGGCCGCATTGCAATCGCAGTTTATGCGAAGTCCTCCTGCGTTTGATGGCCTCATCATTCTTATAAGTTTGCTGGAATTTATTGAAATTTTATTAATTTGTGTAATTACATATGTAAGAGAATGCAATTGAATCAAAAATAAATCACACCATTGAAAATTCTAAAAAGTGTAGTCTTTGGTGGATGTTTAAATAAATTGCTCCAGGCGCTGGTTACAGCATGTCACCTAGTCGGAGATTCTTAAGCATCAGAAACTAGCCGCGAAGAGACAGGCCGAAAATGGACAAGCCTTGGTACCAGGACGATTCTTGACCGAGAGGCTCAGCCATGTAACGTGCGACACGGGTCAAGGAGTAGAAAAACGATTTACTTGCTAGTAAACTTTATAAAAGAAATAAAAGACTACTCTATAATGCTTGTTATAATCATCAGCGAGGACACTACACGGATGTCCTTTGGCCTAGCTCTTATAGCAGCAAGCTGCTGTAACACTTTAGTAAACATAATTTATTTAAAAATAATTTAAATTAAGATTATTTTCAATTTTTCTTAAGACACTATTATTCTATTTACACACTTGATCTTAGCTGTAGGTCCTTGCAAAATGAACTGTGAAAAGGGACATAGCGGCCGGACGGGCAAATAAAACACCTCCATCGGTCTAACTAGGCTTTTAGCATTTAATTTGCATAAGAGAAAAGTAGGGAAAATGTTTTCTGAATATGGCATTTTTATTGAACAGCAACAAGTTATTTATTGGCCTTAGCCCACAACCACAACACGCGCTTTATTTTGACGCTTCTTGAAGGACGCGGCAGGTGCTCGATTGCGATTAACCCTGATCCGACGGACATTCGTGTACTGCAAATTGGTCAATCTGACAACCTTTCGCCTGGGCTTGCGTCTGCTGCGCACTGTTGTGGCTGTTGCAGCTGTTGTTGTTGCTGTTGTCGTTGTTGTTGTCGCTGATCCTGCTGCTGTCGCCTCCGTTGTGTCTGTTGTGATGGCCAGGCATTCTGCGTCATCGGCGTTCAGCTCATCCGTGCAATCAACACAGTCGGTCGGCACACCAGGCGATGTACAGACGACCGCCTCGCTATCCTTGATCATGCAAAGCACGAATACGGCACAGCCCAATAATATTGCAAAGATTCTCATTTTATTATTTATTTGCAAACGTTGACAGCCCGAAACTTTTCATAAACTATGGCCAATACTTCTGCTTTTATAGAAATTCGCAAACTATACAAAGTTTTTTGCAAATTTGCACAGATGTATTTGATAATAATATTTTTATATTCTTTTGTTTTGCCTACTTCATTGTTTCTTCCACTATGCGCGAACAAAAAAGTTGTGTCTTTCACGTGGTTTGGAATCAATACTCTTAGATATGCTAAATATCAAAATATCTATCTATAGAAAAGAATTGCACATAAATAATCAAAATTTACTTTAGTCACAGCCTGGGCAGGACATTCATAGAATAACTTTATACTAATTTTGCTTTTCAAATACTTTAAACTAAAAGTACACAAGGGCAACAGATACCTTCCAAGCACTTTAATTAATATACCCAATTAGTTAAAATTAAAATAATTATATATAGTTAAAGTTTTTGCAATTTAATGCGAATAAGGAGACTGCAAAACGACTTTCAGTCAAATTTAATACCCCATCAAGGTCGAATTGCGTGTTCACATTGTTGTTCAAATATTTGGGCTATATTTTTCCAAATGCCTAAAAAAAAAAAAAAACTGTGTTTGCATTTGCTGTGCGTCGTTTCTGTTAAGAGATTTTGGCCACAGTCATAAAAGAGAATGTGAATATTAAATGTAGCATTTCATTTGATGGCTCATAGTCTAAAATTAATCGAACGACGCCCACATATGAGCTTGTTGTCAAGCCAAACCGAGGACTTGTTTCTAGTGCAAGCAAATAGCGCAACGCGTTTGTCTGTCCGATGATGCTGTTGTCCTCGGATTTGTGACACGCACATAAAATGCTGCATAATCAAATATTAGCCATGGGGCGACTAGCGACTGACAGCTAACGTTGCTTATTTGCCTGCGCCTGGCATATTTGCCCTGAAACTGACACGGACACTGCGCTTGGTCTGCGTGTGGCTCCCTGCTGTGATTTACCTAAGCGCCCGCCCTGTTACCCAACGTGCTCCGCGGACCCTATATAAGTGATGCCAGCAATTGGCATTTGTTCATTCCCAAGTTTCAAGTGGCTTGGTCCTGTTTCTGCTCTCTCCTGGATTTCACTGGCTATGACTTGTTACGCGCTTACTTTGGCTCTACTGGCGCTGGCCGGCTGCATTTGCTGTACGTTCGCACGGGCCACGCCCGACGAGGAGCGCTACGTGGAAAAGGAGTATAATCGGGATCTGTATGACTGGATTAATAACGCCGTTCGATATGCGCCCGTCCAACCACCGGGTCCGCCCTGCAAGTATCCATACTTTCTGGATAACTCACTTAACCCAAATATGCGGATGCCAAAGCGAAACTCGGAACTGATTAACTCGCTGCTCAGCTTACCCAAAAACATGAATGATGCGGGCAAGTAAAGTGATTAATGTCCCGATGACCGATTGCTGATGAAAATATTAACAAATCAAATATTATATGCTTTCTATGAAACAGAGAAAAAAGACCGGATATAACTAAGTACATATGTCGCTGTGGAGATTCTATACGTGAACACAAATATATATAATGAAACAATATGAATAAAAAAATACAAAAAAAAAATGTATATTAATAAATAGTTTTATAAGCCTGGCCTGCGCTTCAATAATAAATAAGTTTGCATACATATGACATATGACTCGAAGGATTCACCAACTGCCTTTTTGTTGAAACTGTGCAAAATATTCAAATTTAAATTTTATGTTCAGTTTTTGGCAACTACGTATATATGCATATACAATCTAAATAAATTATTAAAAAAAAAAAAAACAACCAAAATATCGAAAATCTTTTAGAATTCTTATCTAAACTGAGCACAATCAAACATTTATTTTCTAGTTTTGATTTCAATAAACCAAAAACAGCTAAACGAAATTATTGTCGAAAACTTCTTCTGTTGGCTAAGCAAATAGTAGTCACAGCTGTTTAGCTAAAGCACAAGCCGTGCCACGCATATTTGCTTATAACATTTAGAAGAAATTTGAGTTTTATAGATTTTTATTAAAAATGAACAATTCTTCACTTGGTTATATGTATATATTTAAGTTCATTTGGCGCTATTTGAAATCGTTAAAGATTTGTATTGTATATAAAAGTTTATGCATTTTAACTATTTAAAGGTATGGTTTGTATTTTCTTCTTGTTTAGTAAGTATGTGCTACAATTAAAAACTTGTATTTGCACTAAAGCAGAATGTTTTAGATCAAGTTCAAATCGCAATCGTGAATTGCGTTACATATTTTAAATTAAATTAACAATCGCACAACTTTGTTAAATTAGTAAAAACAATAACATATGCAAAATGTGTGTGTGTTGTGTGGTTGTGTGTGTGTGTGTGTATGAGTTTGTATAAGTAACTGTATGTAACTATGGTTTTTAGCCCAAATGCAGTTTCAGTAGCTTTTCACTTATTTAACTAGCAACGCGCTTCACTCGCATAAATACTCGTACTAACTAACTCGTTAAGGGTAAACTCTGCCTTGGCTAACAACTACACATCATACTGTTAAACATATCGCTTATGACTGCCGCTGTGACATAATTACAGCATACTTATGACTAAATCATGTGCTCCAAAAAAATAATTGAAACAAGAAAAACAGGCGCTGACTTGCTAAAGACTGCATCCTTGTAAGTATCGATCGCATTCTTGCACATATTGAAATGTTTTTAAAGCTTTAGCGACACAGTTTTAGATTTTTGGGGGAACACACGAAATGGCTTCTGATTTGTTGCTGTTGATTATGGATAAAACAGATTTTAGTTGCCGGGATCTCTGACGTCTCACATGAAAAACTCATTTGCTGAATGCGAAAGCGGAAGTCACGTTCGCCCTGGACGATCAAATATGGTAATTTCTATGACGCGAAGACCACGAAATGTTGGATCAATCAATTGCAGACCCTTTGGATTGTAAATGCGTTCATTTTGGGAAGCAACAAATTTGGAAATCTTGCGCAGCGTCTATGTGATGACATAAGAACATTAAATCAATTAATCAAATTACATAGGAATCTCCATCACACCTTTTCGTAATGTGTCTCGGAGCACATATATATCAAATACGCCGTAATACAACCTATGCAGCCCTCGCAGTAGGTGCTACACGAACCCTCCTCCGCCTCGGCATAAAATTCGTTAAGCCTGTTGATGGTCGCCTCGAAGACATGACGTTCAATCTGCAAGTGAAAAACAGCTGGTGAGTTGCCTTATGGAGTACACGATTGCTTACCATTCCCTCCAGCTCAGGGGGCAGCCTTGTATGGAACTTCACGGAGGTGCCATCGCTGTAATCGCGCTGAATGAAGACCTTGCCGCCATGCAGGATGGTTGGATTGCCAGCTGATGGGGTGCCACCGCCTTGTGACATTATTCTTCTGTAAAAATTGCATAGCCCGTTAATTAACTCCAATTGCAGCGATCGATACATTTGGTTCATCGCGATCATTTTCCACAAACAAACGAAATACAACAACAACTTTTCAAAGCCCACTTCGTCTGTGTCAGCACAAAAATGGGCAAATGTGAAAATGCCCTAAGGGCGAGGTTTGAGCCCATAGCGCTGTGTCACCTTGTGGCGAGACGATTGTTGATGACTGATTATTGCCAAAACATTTGCCTTTAATCTCCATCAAATCGGAATATTATTATCACAAACACGACTCGCACATATTTTTCACAAACAAAACAATAAATAGCAGCAACAACAAATCAAACGTAATGCGTGTTGTATTTGAGCATTCCAAAATACACAACACTTTGTTCTCAAGGTAAATGCATTAGAGTTTCTAGTTAACACTCAATTTGGGCAGATATTTAATTAGTAATTGTTTAAATTAATGAACAATTTGCACTTACAATTCTCAACGCACGTAACGTGTACACAATGGCGTCTGACCATTCACAGATTTCGCGTACAACTAATCAGCTGCTTGACAAAAACAGTGTGACCAGCACTCAGTGCTGCCAAAATGTAGCGTTGCCAGATCGTCCGCTTAACGTTGTTGAGCGCCCAATAAAATTTGAATTCTTCTAAATAACCTAAAGCTGTATACAACAATATTAAACTGCTTGTTTTAAGAAAAGTGCTATATAAATAGCTTTAATAAAGTGTAGAACACCTAATAGTAATGGAAAATACTCAAATTAACACGCATCTCCTAGAAAAGTTCGATGACGCCCGCAGTCAGAGATTTCAAAACATTCAACAAACGCATTCACATTGAATTATTTACACAGCTTGTCTCGATGTGAGCGTTTGCGCTTTTATTTCTTCTTATTTATTCGAAAACTGTTGCTCTATTGGGATTGCTGACGGACGTAGTTTAGTATCTTGTTAATGTTCCAGCATGAGGGCTGGCTTCAGTTGCTATCAAAAATGTCTCCTGATATTAATTTTCATCAAAATTGTATCTTTCAAGGATTGTCGCGCTGTGCCAATTGTTGGCGGTCGCGTCGTTTCTAGCGTGGGCAGTATTTCAAAATAAATTCGATTTGAGAGAATTATTGAAAATTCAATCACATTGCAGATGGCACTTCAAGGTACCCTTATATGGTATCATTGCAAGATGTGTTCACTGGATATGGAATCAACAGGAATCTCACTCAAATGCGGATTTATCAGCATTTCTGCGGTGGAAGTTTGATAAGTGAACGCTGGATACTGACTGCTGCCCACTGTATCTGGAGAAAGTTGGTATATATATCTTTAAGATATGGCCTTGACGTCAATCTCTTGTGCTTGCAGAAAACTTGACAAGATTGTGGCTTTTATCGGATACGAAAATATTGAAAATGTTGAAAAATTAAGAGGATATTGTGTGGAAAGCGCTGAATACATTTACTTTCAACCGTATGTATAAATAATTGAAATGGTTAAAATATTTAAAATTTTGCAAGTAATTTTACTTTTACAAGTTGGGTAATAAATTTAATTAAAATATGCTTATAATATCACAGTTCCAACTACCGCAATGATATCGCACTTCTCCATCTGAAGCGCCCATTTAAAAGCCAATTGGGAGTGGACATGCAATTTGCTCAACTGCCTCCGTACGGCATGAAACCCAACAGCAAGGGTTTGTAAACAAAGCGATTAATTATAACTAATCCCCAGAATACGCCTAAATGTATTTTAGAATCGTGTAGAATAATTGGTTACGGCGCCACCAGGCATGCTGGCCCATCCCAGAAGCAGCTCTTTGAGGCGGAGGTGAGCGTCATTGGCAACCAGCAGTGCCGCGATATTATTGGACACATTTGGGCACCTAAGAACGGTGCAAATACGGTCTGTGCATTGGGCCACAATCAGGACTCGTGCCAGGGCGATTCTGGTGGTCCGCTTATTTGTCAATATGGAACCGGAGGACGCGAATACATTTACGGACTGGTGTCGCATGGGCTGACCTGCGGCATTCAGGGAATGCCCAGCATCTACACGGTGACACGACCCTATTACGACTGGGTCCAGCTACTTGTGCAGAACTACTAACGGCTATATATATATAATTTATTAATTATACTATATCAAACAGAAAACATTTACGAATATATATGCTACGACAATGCAAGGAATAGTAAAAATAACAACAATTACGCATAGAAAACTTAGGCCTAGAGTAGTACTGGTAGTATTACAATCGTAACATTGTAGAATACGTATACATAGGTAGCATGGATAATCGATCGTATACTAACTTAACTAGTGGAACCCATCGACCAGCCTGCACGGCTTGGTTGTGGCTCAATCTTACTGCTTTTCAGGCTTGCTCTCGGTCGCTTCGTTGGCGGCGGAGGCATCCTCAACCTTGTCGGAAAGGTGTCCCGTGCCCGTTTCGGGCAGCGTTAGCGTTAGCAGGCCTGCTACTAGAACGCAGCAGCCGCAGATTGTTGTCGGAATGTACCAGCCTAATGCGCCCAGCACATCGACCACATAGGGTGCCGAAATGGAACCGACATGCGCCCATGTGGAGCAGGTGCCCAGCGCCGAGTTACGTATTTCGGTGGGATACAGCTCTGCTGTGTAGAGCGTCACAACCGAGTAGGTGGCACTGATGCCAAATCGACCCAACATGGCAAACGCAACGATCCACGTGGTGCTGCCAGCGGGCACCGCGAGCACCAACAGCAGCGATACGCCCGTCCACATGAACAGGAACATTGTGGTAATACGACGGCCCGTATACCGCAACATAATGACCGGCACCAGATACGAAGGTATATCCACAACGCCAGTGGCTATAATATACAGATAGCGACTGACCGAGAGATTGGCGGCATTGAGAGCTACAAATGGATTAACATTGAAATTAAGGTTATTTTCTTTTTTTGCATAATACTTTTGATCTCAGGATCTTACCCGTCACATAGTAACTGAGCGAGGTTACGCAGAACATAAAGTACGAGGTGAAGATTAGTTTGCGCACTTTTGGATTCGCAAAGAGCTCGATAATTGACTTAAGTGGACCATTCTTTAGCTTCTTGGCGAGCGAATCATTTGGGATCGGTTCCAGCTGTAATCAAAGGCAATAAATGAACGTTGTTGTTGAGTGTAACTGACTGCTTAATACTCTGTTCACAGTGCAATGACCGCTATCATGAAGTGAAAAGACTCGATTTGATTATTTGACTGACTCTCTAACTGTAACCCAAAGCAGTGACTTGCAAACTGTAACCAGGATATATAAAACTGTTTGACAGATATACTCTGTTTTACTCTGTGAACAGAGTATGCGATATAAATGACTTTCGCTTGACAACTAGCTCATTTGGCGAAAGCATCTGGAAGATCTTTCTACAGACCGTTTTCTTATCGCTAACAATTTCGGTGGCTGGCGCAATTGTGGGCTGAACCTCATAGTGGCTGGGCTGCTTGAAAAGGATTTGATAGACACGGTCGTAACGCTGCTTCGTTATGAGCCAGCGTGGGGATTCGTTCATCAGACTGGAAAAAACAGGACAGAAATTACATAAATTGGCACTTGCATTAACCAACTTAACCTACTAGCAATTAAGGATCAGAAGTAGCGAGGGTATGGTCAATGCCAGTTGCAGATAGCGCCAGGGCTGTATCAGATAGCCCGCAATGGCCAGCAGGATCATGCCAACGGGATATGAGGCAGAGAAGGCAATCGACATCCAGGAACGATGCTTCAGGCAAATGTTCTCAACAACTAAAGCAAAACTTTGCAATATAAGTACAACAGGCAGCAAATCTTAAAGGAAGATACGTACTCATCGTAAATGCAGGATAGAACAAACCGGACGAGGCAGCGCCCAAGGCGAAGCGGCCAATCAAAAAGAGACTGTACCAGGGCGAGAAGCTGCAAAAGATGCTGCCCAAAACGAAGAAAGCGGCGCCCAACGTAAACGAAGTCTTGCGACCAAATCTACAAAAAAACGAATATCATTTTTTAAGCAGCCAGCTTAACTAGTCTGTAGCTTTAACTTACTTGTCAGCCAGTATGCCAAACGTGAAGGAGCCGCAGAATTTGCCTAGGGATAGGGAAACCTGGGCCGATGTGCGCTGAATGCTGCGCTCACAGGTCAGCTCCCAATCGGCAACGAATGTGGTCTCCGGATGCGAATACTCGTAGCTGCCCTTGGCCTTGCAGGACACCACCGTGGGCTGCTTGATCGCAGCCATGCGGCTGGTGTAGTTAAGTGCCGCCTCGTAGGACATCTGACTCAGCTGCTGGTAATCCCAATCCCAGACCGTGCAACCGCCCGAGTTCAGCTCATGCTCGCTGATGCTGCGCTTCTGTGCCAGCGTCCAGTTGGTGTTACGCAGTTCGTCAATGCCGCACCACTGATCCTCGGGCAGATGGCCGAGCAGCGTGTACGACGACACATGGAAACCGTTCAAAATGTTGGGCGTAACGCAGAGAAAGAAGATGGCCCTGCAAACGGAAATGCAAATAGTTACAACAACTGCTCAAATTGTTTGCTTAAATACGCAATTCAGCGAAATTGCGTTGGCGTTGATTTCACCTGGCGCTAATTAAAACATTTTACATATTTAGCAGGTATGATCGCTATATCTAATTAACTAACCCTTGTTTATGCGATACGCAACTTCAATCTTTCGCACGTTAGCACAACATGCTGATAATTGAAAGTGGCGCCGCTTGTTATTTCACATTATTATTAATAATATTAACGATCGGCGATCAAAATAAATGACGCCAACTGACAATTGCGAAAACAAAAAATTGTGAAGGTTAGTGACACATTCCAAAAAGCAAACACGCAGCTAAACTTACAATTTTGGCCATTGAGTATTCAGCACATGATCTGATATACAATACCCAAAACAAATATACAGCTACGCGTTCTAACTCATTTATGTTGCGAGTGTTTTCAATGTAAACGGCGCGTCACCAAATTGTCAATCGAACCGGGCAACCGGAACGCAATGCGCAATATTTACATATTCGATTTTTTTTTACGATTCCCGCCCAGCCACTTCTGGGCAGAGGATCGTCAAAATTCAAAGCACTCAAAGTACGTTTTAAAGTTAATTTTGTTTGTTTTCGATTTTTTTTTTTTTTTTTTGGTTCTACACGTACGAGTCATAAGGCTAGTTACGGTAGTTGAATGTCTGCCGGAGTACGTGTCCTTCGGGCACAGCACCCCTCTCTCTCTCTCTCTCAACCATTTCGCATCAATATTCCATTCACTTTACTGACCCTCCTTGAGGCAGTGCAGCGATATAGACTCGAATAGAATCGAATAGAATATACAATATTAAAATGATTATTATAATGAGTACCGGTTTCAAATACAAGTATGTAGATTATTGGCCCGCTGCAATTCAAATCTGTTATCAGGCTCAATTGCCTACTATAATTAAATCTAGTGCACTGATTTGACATCTCTGTACAAAGGTAATGTTATTTACTGCTGAATACTCTTTCTCATCCATTACATATGTCACTCAAGTCGCGTGCTCAAACTATTATTGATAAGTCAACTTCAACTACGGATTAGCCTTTAGATCTGGTCGGTACGTGTTGTTCGTTTTAAAATATTTGAATCGTATATTATTTAAATTAGTTGTTCGTGCTTGGCATAAGATTTACTTTACAGCTAATAGCTCTGACTAATGCTTGGACTAGTGTTAACCTAGTTTTCTTCAACTCAATCAGTTTGAACTGCTTTGATGCCAGTTCTGAATCAGTTTCAGTTTGAACTTGAACTTTTGAGTCGAACAGCTTTCATATTAATGGAATAGGTCAAGCTATCAGAACTGATCGATTCCATTCAGTTATGCACTCCTGATCTGGGTATATTCATGACGACATATATGCACATGTGCATAGGACAACCCCTCCTCACCAAACAAATGCGCCGCTACTGCCAACTATTTCCAGCTGCTTTGTGAGCAAATCCTTCATGCTCTCCTCGCTGATGAGCTCTCTCGTCTTCTCCAGATTATCCTTAGACTGGGTCATTTTAGTAGTTTCCTTGTTTATCACAGCTTTTATATATATATAGATATATATATAACACACAACACAGTGCTCAACAACAACAAAAACAACGAACACAAATTGTATATATATATGTATATGTGTGTGTGTGCGTATTGATAAGAGTTCAAATTCAGATTCTTTCGAAAAGAATTCGAAATTTTCTGGGTCGTTCACTCGCTTGAAGAACTTTATGCTGTGCGCATTTTGACACTGAACTTGCTTTTGAAACCAGTTTCTGTAAGTCAATCTATTTATAATCTATGCCCATCAATTGCTCAATTGAAATTGCAATCACAAAAGTCGCGATTTAAATTCTGACATACATATATATATATATGCACAAATATAGAATTTATTGCCGCCAATTGTCCGGCGATTACGAGTGCATTAACACGGCGTGTAGCCTCTGACACGAGAGTTTCGCTGTCCGTTTTTCTGGTCGACTTCTCCTATTCCAGTGTCCACTGATAATACGCAGCCAAAAGGCGCCCGATCGGCCAAATGCAACGGGAATTGCGAACGCAAAGTGTTGTTGTGTTTTTTTTTTTTTCTATTTGTGGTTCTTGTTTTCGTTTTCACTTTCACTTCTAAATTTTTTTTTTTTTTTTGGTTGCGACCTTTGCGGTTTATCTTTCCGTTCTATTTTCTAGATTCGCTTTATGCTTATGTTTTTTTTCTTGTTCAGCCCACGTTTGTTTTTCTTTTTGGCTTGTCAAAATTTTCTTATATGTTAAAATAAACATAAAATTGAATTGAATATCTGTTCCCAGTCTTTTTGGGCAGCTGCGCGCGGCAATGTTTCTAATTTTGAATGAACTCTCGAGCGCGTGTAGCGTCTGCTGGCAGATGAGATGCAGTCGCTTGTAATGCCACCAACTACTTGCCGCTTCGGAGGCGTCTCACAAACTAAGCCCACGGGAGGTCGATCGCAACATTTTGTACTAGCATACAGCCCGCCAGACAAAACAGACTGACATATACACTCACCCATAAGTAGTACATACGCACACTCATTACAAATACACGAATACGCTTGACTCTGTCTCTGCCTCTGTCTGGCTCTGGTTCGGAAACGTTCGGCTTCGGCTCTTCCCGTTCCATTTACTTATGCTTGGGATTTTGAGTTTGGTGTATGTGTGTGTGTCTGTGTCTGTGTGTAATGCATTCAATTTTCGAAATCATTGCGCGTTTGAGGAGAGATTATTTCCAAGTGACAATAGCACTCTACACAGAACGAGGAGCAGCATATGCGACCATTTACACTTAAGCCACACTGACAGATCATAGGAAGATCGAAAATTGATTAAATAGGAATAGGTTAAGTAATTCGAGCCTTATCAATTTAACCTTTTCATCGTCATAAAAATATTCAACCCCTTCAATAAAAAAGAAATTTTTGTAAAGTAAAGCTTTCATATATTAAAATGTTTCATTCATTCGAAATATAGTTAAATTGCCAAAGCTAAAGGACTTAGCAGCCCTCCTATCTCTAGCTACACTTCTAAAATATAAATACATTTTCTTATCAACAGGGTATTCTATCTTGCACCCAAATGGTTTGCTAAGTATAACATTCATAACGATCTTTTTCAGTGTAAGCATCGGTACATAGCTCAATATGTCAAACCACATTATCATCCCTTACGTATCCAACGCGCAGAGCTCATCAATCACCCTGCCTAGCCGAACCTTTACATTCAGCACAGGATCTTCATTACAATTAGAGACAAATGCCGTTACAAACTAATGCACGGTTGCTCTCCACAACAAAGAAATATGTATTTTACTTAGTATGTATGAGAGTGCATAGGAATTAAGCATTAATTTACAGTACGCTCTGCTGTAATTCATATAATTTACATTTTGTCTACGTTTCATTACAAATTTACATTCGTATGGCCGATAATCGAGCGCCTGCCTTGTTTACATTATTGTTTTCGTCAATTCCGTTATTTTTAAGTGCGTACTTAAGAGCAGCGCTCTTACATTTTTCGGCTCTTTAAAATGCAAAGAGCAAAACACCATTGTAAATTGAAAGAAACACTGTGAATGAATATTGCTTAAATGCTGTGTAAATGATATGTTGATCCCCTGAAGCGGAAGGCATTTGAATTTAAGTCGCCTCTTGCTGGTGGAGTCTCTTTGTTCTGAATACAATGTTGTAATATTTATAATTTGTGGGAATATAGATACATATGTATCTGCGCTTGAGTAACTCTTAAGCGTGGATTTGTTTTTTTTTTTTTTTCATGACTAAATCTTTAATTGATTTGATGGGAGCGACAACCTCAATCATTATGATGTTTAGACAATTTCTCAAACTGGAACCAGATGCATTGACCCCACTGAGTAATACCAATTGAGGTTAACTGTATTAACGTTTAGATAACATGCCTCTCAAGAGCTCTCGACTCTGGCCAAGCTCAATTGATGGTTTTTACTACGTCAATCGATCGAGCGTACGATCGATACCGATATCGATGGAAATACGTAAGCAAGAGCCATGGGACTGTGCACTGGAAAAGTGCAGGGTAAGCAGCAGTCGACATTGTATTTAAGCTGCTTATTTTATTTTTATTTTTTTTGTGGCTGTTGTTTAAATGTATCGCTTTAATTATTGTTCAGTTTTTCTCATGCATGTAATCATCCTGCTCACTCGTATTTTATTCATCTGTGAAAATTGCATAGTGCAGCGCATGTCTAACGGCGCTTGAGTACTAGCAATAATTCAGAACAACAAAAACAAGCAAAAGTTCTCTGGCCGGGAGTGCCCGATTGCCAGATACCCTAAGCACAACCTCAGACAGTCTATCATCTGTACACACATACAGGTATACAGGCTTATCTTGAATAACTTCCGGGCTTACATTCGGAACTTTATGAAATTTGTAGGGGTATATACCAAATCTTTAGGTTAAGTTTGAGTTTTATTTTCCTTAGAACAAAGGAAAGGTATCCAAAAAGTTGAATTTTCTGGATCTGTGCGTATCATATAAAAACTATCTCGACAAATTTAGTGAACTTTGAGATATAAAATAACTTTGATTAACGCCATATTCTGGAAACAGAGTTTTAGATGATTTGAAGTATACATACATGAAATTTCTGTAGATCTTATAGTCTCTGAGATTGATATTCATAAAGACGGATGGCATATGTGTATACATACCCCATGGAAACGGAGATGACGTCTTTTGCCATAGTTACATACCCTTAGCACAGAACCATTACACCCTTGTCAATGGATACAGGGTATACGCATTAAGCTTGGACGTTCTGACGAATGCATGACGATCCTCTGAGAGGTCGTATTTATTATGTGTATATAGAGATTCCATTGGCAGCTTGTTTTGTTTTTTTTTTTTTTTCAATTGAACTCGTAATGCACATGGGCGTGTACCGTTGACAATTTGATTGTGATTGGATAGGTAGGTCTTTGGCTTTGATGTTTCGTTGTTGTTGTTGTTGTTGTTGTTGTTATTGTTTTTGTTTGTGGCCAACGCACGTGCAGCTATTGTTCGATTTTGGCCACAATTTCAAGTGCATGCACAGAGCTGGCGAGCTTTTGAATATTGTTACGATTATGTATGGAGCGCACGTCGTCAGTCCCAGTGCCCCGACCACGCCCATACTTTCACTCTCGGTCCAAGCAGTGCGCCCATTCGTAGGTGACATACATCCATCTGGTTGGCACTAATCTAATAAAAACTAACCTGATTCAATTAAAGTCAAATTGCCGAAAAACATTTATGATCCCATATGCAAATGCCATATAAATAGAACGTATTCTAAAGATAAAGCCAAGTTGTAGAGATGTGCGATTTAATGGAATATTAAAAAAGATGATATACATGAGCATGGATAACATGGACAGAAAAGATCAAGTGTATTAGGTGGTTAAAGTATCTACAACCATTTATGTACATGAATATAATAAATTATTTTATATTCATGACAATTTACGAGTTATAGCTGCCAAACGTCGTTGTTCAAGTCGTTGGCAGCATTAAGCAAAACACAAACCGATTAACTTAACATTTAATTTATATTTACACAACAAATTTTGTTACTACCGAGATTTACGATTATCATTAGACTTTCGTAACTCGATACAACAGGTATATCTGGAGCGTATATCTCATCCCTAAGGCCCCGGAGAGCTACTTGGTGACTGATTGAAATTTATGAATCCCAATTTGTTGGCCTGTCGTGGGTGGCGTGGGTGGCATAGATGGCGTTGGCGCTTAAGTGAATGATTACCCACCAGACGGGCTTAGAATTATGCAAAAAAGACTAAGTATAAGATGTGGAATTCACTCCAGATCTGGACCAAGCCGAGTTGAATTAAATGATTAGCTCGAGAAATGGGATTACGGCTAGCTGAATGCTATAGCGAGTGCCCAAGTGGGTCTATGATTTGACTAGGTATATGGAAGTGCCCCCTGATATTAGTAATGTCAAAGTAATTGGGCGAGCAATTGAGCAGCAAAATGAACATAGCTAGGTTTACCCGATGGCGCCATAGCCGAAGTTGAGCAAACAGATAAGACCAATCACAAAGACGCCATAGAAGGTGATGTTGTATAGATTGAGCCGGCTAAGCAAACCAGCAAAGTAGCCAGGACTGGGGCCGACATATCGGTTCTTATCCTGCACATCCTGCAGATCCCGCCAGCACACCACCTGTGGCCGGATTACAAAGAGCGCATTAATCGCCGCCCGTACGCCGCTCTCGACAGCACCGGCCATGAGATTCCGATCTTTGGTGGCAGCTGCAGCCGAACTGGACCAGATGACACGATGCCAGGGCTTTATTTGCGGCTTGTGTATGGCCGTATTTAGCTCACAGGTCTCCTGTTTGTAGGTCAAAGGATCAAGCATTTCCTCGCCAAACTGTTCTGCCAGCAGATCCAGCACAGTGGTTCGCACGCTGTCTGCCTCCTCCACGGTATGCAGCATGTAGCCGCAGTATTCGCCCGAATTGAGCGCGTAGCCCACCACCAAGGGTCGAATGTTTAGAAACTGACCCGAATAGCCTTGGCTTATCCAAACGGGCTTGTTGTAGCGCATAGAGTATTGGGTTATCATACTCTTCGATTTCTTTGTGCGCCTGGAGGGTATGCGAAACTGTCTGGGCAGCTGAGGCTCGAACTGCAGCTTGTTTACCTTGTCCCAGGGTATGGCCAGGATAACAGCTTCTGCCTTGTGCTTCTTGCCATGTGAGTCTGTCACCTGGACATAGTTCTTAAAGTGTTCCACCTTTACAGCTTTCACATTATTAAGGATCTCAGTGTACTTCAACTTTTCGTGCAGCGTCTCAAGTAGTTTCCCGCAGGACAAGCTCATGATGGACTCCGGCATGGCCAGCAAGCTGCAAGTAGACATTGTTAAAGTGCAACTGAATATACCCCATGGATCTCCTACAGATCGATTAATACATTCAGTCCGCCCGATGTGCTGCACAGACACATGAATTCATCGTAGTTAATATCGCTGGCTTGCATACCGGAGGCCAAATGCACCAGCTGATACATGAACTCGCGGGACAGATTGAAAAACAAGTTGGTGACTATGTGCCGCTCCATTGTTGGTATTCGCTCGCGGAACCTAAAGGAAGGCAACGACAGACATTAGCGCATTTCTGTGCTCCCCAATACCCCGTCCAATCGTAAACTAACTCATAACGCACGGAGCTAAACTTCTTCATACGCATGTCCAACATATTGATATAGCGCCAGAGCTCAAACTTGGCCGGAACTGAGGTCAGGCCGCGGTCCAGCTCCCAGCAGCGACTCAGCGTCTGTTCGTGGGAATCATGCTGGAACAGTGCCACATTTAGTTGCGTGATGAAGGCAATCAGCTCCTTCTGCTCCTTGCTCACAAAACATGTTCCCTTTCCGCGCAGCTGCCCACCGGGCT